CAATTCCTATGAATGTCATAGCAGTTTTAGGAAACTAATCTATGAACATCTGATTAATTTCATTCACAAAATTATTTTTGGTTGATAAAATAGCACAAGATGTAACTGAGGAGGTGTCATAAATGAGTGCATCTAAATTGGGATAAATAGTTTTGAACAGAATAGAATATGTAATAATTCTTTCTCATTAGTAAATGGAATGAGGAAAGATTTTGGAACTTCAATTTTTCCATGTTCATTAACCTTTTCTATTCCATCTCTAATCCTTAATAAGTACTCACAAAAGGCAAGATCTTTTCTTGCACACATATTTTTTGATAATCGAAACTTTTTAAGGTGATTCCAGATGTCTGAATATAATAAGCTTTCATAAATGAAATCTTCTTTCGTCCCGCTTTGTACAACTGGCAAAGTCTATCTGAAATCACCTCCGAAAACAATGACTTTACCACCAAAGAGTGGATCTTTGTCCATAATATCTCTCAAGAGTAAATCAAAAGTCTCGACAAATTTTTTCTTTGCTATTGGCACCTCATCCCATACTATTAGTTTTGCATCTCGGATTAAAGATGCAAGTGAACTTTGTTTACTTGTATTGCAACTATAATTTTCACTTGTATCAATAGGAAGTTTAAAATGGGAGTGAGTAGTCCGGCCACCAAGAAGTGCGGAAGCCGCAACACTAGAAGTTGTTGTAGCTAAAGCTATAAATCCCTTAGATCGTACAATAGCTAGTAGAGCACGGTATAAGAAGCTTTTTTCTGTTCCTCCAATATCATCAATAAAAAAACCTCCTGATCTATTTGAAAATATTCTATCAAGGATGGCATCATATGCTGTAAGTTATTCTTTATTTAGTTTTTTGAATAACAACAAATCTTCTTTAGTGACAATTATGTTTCGCTCTAAATGGATGTCTCTAGCCTCTTGTGTTATTGTGGAAGATGCAGAAGATGTGAAAGTTTATAATATGAGTTTAAATTCATTTATACTCTATCTCATTGAATGTAATATATCCTTTATATGATTTAGGACCAAATAACGAATGTTGTTTGTTTGTATGTTTGGTATAATTGAGAAATCTTCTGACATGGAGCTTTCAAATCGTTCCCATGATTCTCTTAGATTAGCGGGGTTACAATATACTAATAGCATTTACAAATAAACGTCTTAGACTGTATGGCATTTGGTAATTAGTAGCTTCATACATACAATCAATTAAGTTATTATCACAAGCTATCAATCTTTTTTTTTTCTGCAGATTCTCTAAATGTGTTGCAATGCTTTCCATTTACAGTTTTGAGATCTTTGTATGATTTTGGGCCTCTTATTTTCATCAATACTAGGCGAAGGTAGTATCTCTCCCCTTCTGTTGGATGACATGTGACAATACGTCCAATAGCATAACCTTGTTATCTTGGTGACCACATTTTATCACTCACTGACCATACGAAGTGTTCTGAAAATTCTGTGTACAATAACTGAAGCTCTTTAGCACGCTTATTTGTTTCATTCATTGTAAATAATTCTGTTAACATTATTTTCTTAATTGCAGGATTATTTAAAATTGTGTTTAGACTTGCAGTTGTCTTAAAGGAGACAAATTGTTGATTCTCAAGATGTAGTTGAAGATGGTAGATATTGGGAGTCATTTCACTGATAGAAAAGGCAAACAAATGCCACATAGCCTCCGGTGCTGACACCCATCTGTCATATCTATATTCTCTGGTTTCATCAATTTCTATATTGGTATCATTACTGTGTACGTTGAAAGCAATTTTATCATGCCCTTTACAAATGTATTTGTTGATATAGTAAACAACTTTAACATCCGATCAAATTTCAACATTCATGTGACAGTTAAACTTGCTCAGTAGATATGGATTGTAAGGAACATCCCATAAATTGTCAAGATATTGGCTTCTAACTTTGACAAAGTTTCTGATATCTCACCTTCTATAAATTGGATATGAATTCTTACCTTTAGATGTTTCGTTGGCATAATCTCTAGGATATTTAAATTTACATTGTCTCATGTTTTTCATGCATGGACTTGTAGGATTTAACACAAGGACCATGCATCATATTCTTAACAACCAAAGAATGTGAATGACTATTTGTATTACCATCTGGTAGTTCGGCACAAACAACTTTATCATAAGCCTCATGTGTCAATAATTTATACTCGTCAGCAAGTATAATAAGGAAATGATGTATCGACCCGGCTGGTCGTTTTGTGAATTATAGCCATGTTTCCCCCATTTTCACTTCTTTATGTGTTATTCAGCTGTATTGTGTCGTATCGAGTGGTTGTGGAGTGGAATGAGACACTTAGTCTCTTATTTAGAAGCTTAAGTTGGAAAAGTCAACCGGGTGTTGACTTATGTGTAGAAGATCTCAGATGTGAGTTCTGATGGTTCGGTTAGCTCCGTTCGGAAATTTTAGGATTAAGAGCGTGTTCGGAATGTAATTTGGAGGTCCGTGATAGGATTAGGCTTGAATTGACGAAACTGGAAATTTGGCATTCTCCGGTTGGCAGTGGAAATCTTGATATCGGGGTCGGAATGGAATTTTGGAAATTGTAGGTCCGTAGTGTCATTTGTGGCATGTGTGCAAAATTTCAGATCATTCGGAGGTGATTTAGTGGGTTTCGACATCGTTTGCAAAATTTGGAATTTTGGAAATCCTTATGCTTGAATCGGGGAGTATTTGGGTGTTTTAATATTGTTTTGAGTGATCCGGAGGTTCGACTAAGTTTGTATGTTGATATGTGACATGTTGGTAAATTTGGTTGAGGCCCTGAGGGGCTCGGGATGATTTCGGATGGTTATCAGAGAATTTGGAAATTTGGTAAGGTAGTTGAAGCTGCTGATCTGTCATAACCGCACCTGCGGAGTGGGGACTGCATATGCGATGCCCGCAGAAGCAAAAAAGTAACCGCAGAAGCGGCCAAGGCCAAGGAAGCCAAGAACCGCAGGTGCGGAAGGAGGAGCGCACCTGCGAGATCGCAGGTGCGGATATTGGACCGTAGAAGCGGTTATAGGCGGTTAAGTGAAAACCGCAGATGCGGTTGATTTGACTGCAGAAACGGCCCTGCAGATGCGTGAAAATGGGCCGCAGGTGCGAGATGCTTGGGCAGAAGGTATTTAAGAAGCCCTTTGCGAATTTTCGGGTATTCTTCACCATTTCTATCCGGATTTTTTTAGGGTTTTGAAGAGGGAATCAAGGGGATACTCATTGAAGTAAGTTATTTGAGCTTAATACTTGTGATTTTGGTAATTTTCAATTGATTAAACCTGACATTAATAGAAATTAGGGATGAAATTTAGGGGTTAGGGCTTGAAAATTGGAGAGTTTAATTTGAGGATTTGAGAGACCATTTGACCTCGGATTTTGATGGTTTTGATATGTATAGACTTGTAAGTGAAAGGAGCTAGTTTTATGATTTTTGTCGGATTACGAGACTTGGGCCTATGGGCCGAGTTTGGGTGAATTTCGGGATCTTTGTAGCTCGAGAGGTTTATGACTGAGTGAAACCGAGGGCCTGAAATTGTGAGGATATTGAGAGTATAGCACATGAGTTGTCTGTATAGCACGTAAGTTGTTTGTAGCACGTGAGTTGTCCGTGCAGATTCTGATATTGATACTATAGCGTGTCAGTTGTCTGTGCAGCACGTGAGTTGTCCGTGCGTGTTATAGCGCTTGGGCTGTAGGAGCCCCTCCGAAATCTGCACACACCCAGTGAGCGCGGGTATCCTGAGTGAGTGATATGATGTTGTCCGAGGGGCTGTTCTTGATTTATGTTTTTGCCCGATGGGCTATTTATGTTTTCATCATTTTTACTCATTATTCATCATTTTGTTGGAAAAGTTATTGAAAGATGTTTTTAGACAGTTTTATTGGAATTGGATTTTTAAACGGGGTAAATTGACTCACATAATGATTTGAAAGCATGTTGTACCTACTGGAATTTCATGATGTAGATTTTATGTGTTTCCTACTGCTCAATATTTATTCTCCTTTATTACTTACTGAGTTGACATACTCACATTACTCCTTACACGCTGTGTGCAGATCCAGGAATTACTAGACGTGCTTGCGATTGTTGATTTTTTATCTACCGTGAATTTGTGGAGTTAGCAAGGTAGCTGCATGGTGATCACAGCCTTGCTCTTCTCCATCCTATCTTCCTTTAGCTGTTATTAGTAGTTTATCCCAGATTGTATTAGTCTTGGCATTTTTAGACAGTTTTTAGTAGATGCTCATAACTTGTGATACCCCGATGTCGGGCTTTTCTTTCCGCACTTTGTTATTCAGACTTATATTATATCGTTTTGTTAATTATTGGCCTAAAGTAATCTTTATTTTGAAATATCGGGTTGTTTTGATAGAAGAGTCGGCTTGCCTAGTTCCATGTTAGGCGCCATCACGACCTAGTAGATTTAGGTCGTGACAAATGAGCATGAGGAATACCTCATTTTGGAATTCTATGGAGTACATAAAAGCAGCGACTTTTCAAAATATACACTTTTTAATTATATCTGACTTAAGCTCTTCTACCTTTGCTTTAAATATGCGACTCACTAAATTCGGTTTGTTTTGTACTTTACCAGTTAGTAGTAATAAATCTTTTATCTCTGGCCATAAAGGATTACATGTCACCGTTAGAAAGATATCAGGTTTTCCAAAGTTTTGTACTAATTCAATGGCATCCATATATCGACGTCGCATATCTCTTGGACCTCCAGTAAAGCTAATAGGAAGGAATGTTTTTCTGCCAATATTTAAAGCTTCTCTTTCGCCTAGTCTTAGAAAATCAGTAAGTCCTTCTAAAATGGCAAATTTTTGGCTTTGTTATCTCTGGGGTGCGGTTATTTATAAAATGGTAAATTTGTCCTTGAACTCTAAATGTATAGACACCTTGAGTTGTTTTTGCTAATTCCTTATCGTACTTTACTCCAAGTGAAGTAAATGCGAACATGTTGTTGTATGTTCTAATATAAGTATGGAAATGATTGGATTCATCGTTCACGCCAAAGTAAAGGCTTTTTAACTCAGAAGGTAGGCGTTGTGAAACTAATTTTACTGAACTATTACTACAACAAAAGCTAGGAGTTTCATATTTAAATCTTCTAGCTCCGCAGAATTTACAATTCGGAACCCGTTTTAGAACGGAAGGACAACTGGATAGCTGGTTGATATTCCAGCACCCCACCTGTGTTAAGGTGTGTCCTGCAACATTATAAGTAGTTAAGTTTTCATTATATGTTCCTGATGTCAAGCATGTAATATACAGGCAGCACCTCAAAATATGTTAACTATTTGAGGTAGCCTAAAATGCCGAAAGTTAATGGAATATTACAGTTCAATTCAACCAACCATTCTGGGAAGGTAGCAGCTTGTCCTGGAATCATCCTTTGAGATTCGGAAGAAGAATGACTTTGATCGGAAGGATTGGCGGAAGAAATTTCAGAAAGACGACACTTTTTCGCAGCATATTCAGTCCGGCATCGCTCTAGAAGTGTTGCCTTTTTATCAGGTGTCATTTTTTTGTATGCGATACGTCGCCTAAGGTTTCTTTCACTATTTTTGGCACAAAGATATGGATGGCATGTCGTGTGACCAATTTGGTCTTGATCCGTCTTTCTTTTGTTAGAAGACATCTGACTTGCACGCATTTCATATAGGCCTTTTGTTAAAATCGAAAGTTTGTAAGGGTAACATTTAATCTATTCCTATAGGAACAAATATCTACATATTATAACACAAAACATAAGATAAAAGCAAGTTGCATTGTAGCTAAACAGATAATGTTATAGATCAGAAGTTGCGAAAATTACCTGGTGTAGCAATACTGTTTTTGTTATTATTATGCTTGTATTTGTAAATAATGATTCTGGAAATTAGAACGTTAGCTTATAAACGTAAATATAAATAAAACAGAAATTAATTCGAGCCCAGTGAATTCACAGTGTTTCCTTAAGGAATTTAATCCCCTCCTAGTACCCAAGGTTATGGATTATTTCCTCCCAGGATAGAAAGAATTACACACTGGTGTAGCGGTACTTCAAACCCCAGTGTTTCAACGAATACAAAATTTGGCAGCAAATCACACTTACGGATGCTTTGTTTGTAGTTTAAACAATGCAGAACAAGGGAGGAAAACTCAGAAGTCGAATGGAAATTCTGAGAGGAAGGAATGCAAATTATAGCCAACGTTGAGTTTTCGGTGAAGAGAAGATCAATAGCTCTCAATTCTGTTTCTAGTGTGTCTTCAACAAGCTGCTTGCACCATCTATTTATAGTGCAGTTAGCTGTTAAACACGGACCCGCTGCCACTCATTTAGTGGAGCACTTGGTCATGGTGGATGGAGCACCAGGCTGCTAACTAATGGAGCAATCACTTGCTATAATGGAGCAAGCATTTGGCAATGGTGGGAGACGCACAAATCCACGGATTGGAACATATCCGTTACAAACACGGATATTATTACGTTAATATTTACTATTAACAAATAAATTTGGTCCAAAAAATTAATCAATCAATCGATTGATCAAAGCCGAAGCCGAAGCCAAAGCCGAAGCCGAAACCGAGCGACGATGCGAGGTTTGCCTTCTTCCTAACTTTTTAAGAGCTACATGAAGTGCATTTGTATATAAACCCACCAAACTCCTTTTCCTCTACCAATGAGGGACAATGTCTACCTAAAAGGAGAGGAAAACTGAAAATTTTACTCAAAATTTTTATTTCCCTCAATTTCTCATTCACCTTCTTTTTAATACCTTTCTATATTAAAAAGAAACTCAACAGTTTTCACTTACCCCCGGAGCAAAGTTCACTCTCAAGAGCCTGGAAAATTAGAATTGAATAACCATTATACTCTAGCTTAATCGAGGAAACGTATGCGATAATTTACGGGAAAAATATGATATATTAGTATTACTTGAGGTAAATATCATGCGTGTATACAACTGAAGGTAAAAGCAGACAGTGTTGTTTTTGGATCTAAAACCCAAATCCTTTTTCTGTTTCTGTTAGTCTAATTTAAGAACATGGAAAGCAATTGTCTAGTTGGTATCAAGAACCTCAAGGACAGTAATTTAAAAACATGGAAAGCAATTGTCCAGTTGGCATCAAGAATCTCAAATTAGCAATATATATGTTATGCCTTTTAGTAGGAAGGGATCAATTCTCTATCTTCGCGCTAGTTGGAATTGAAGCCATGGTTATCTCTAATCTTATCATTTATTAGCTATTTGAGGGCAGGAATGAAAATACAATAAATCACAGAATCAAAGATGAAGTAACTTTTCTCTTGTTGGTGGGAGAAAAGACCTCCATCGGAAATATACCATGTGCCTTCTTTACCATCTCAAAGTAAAGAATCACAACTGACTTTTCCTCTTTTATTTTTCCTTTCACGATTTCAAGCTAAACACAAAGCTCTAGAAATTTATTCTAAATTCATAAAATAATTCATTTCGTTGGTCAATCTATCGCACCATAAGTAGCGTGAATGATCGATCACAACGAAGCACCTACAAATATTTTTTCAGCGAATGGTGGTTCTTTAGACTTCTTCTAAGGTAACAATTTCAGCAATCAAACCAATTCAGTATAGTCGCAATCTCATCAGATATCAGAAAATACAATTTTGAGGAAAAAGAGAAACCTAGTTGTAGAATTATTGACATGCATATAAGCAATCAACAAAAAACTTCCCAAAAGATGGAGGGGTCCTAAATTTTATTCAAAATAGCAGATATGAAGACCAAATTTTGCAAGTAACCACTATAAATTAACTTTCACTATTCATCCCAAGACATAGCTAACACATGCAAGACATAGGATAACTCAGTCAAAATTAAGGAAGGCCAAATCCCAAAATTAGAAGATGAAAACTGGAACACATGAAGCATGAATGAAGCCACAAAAAGAGGAAGACAAAGAACAATCCTGCAAAAATCTAAATAGACAAATGCTGGAAAAAAATTAAGGGAACACCCCACTATTCCAACAAAATTACTGGAAAAAAGAAAGAGGAGAAAGCAGAAGTCACCTAAGCACAACAAAAATTAGAAGCAATATTTCATAAAAAATATCAATACTTAAAAGTCTAATGCATATTTTGCTGAAGATGGGTTTTTGTAAAGAAACATATTTCTCCATTCTTAGAATATGGTCCAAGGAGGGAAGATTCTATTTGACTACCTTTGACTCCAATTGCATGGGTTAATTATGCAGAAGATAATCAAACTTATAGTTTAATTGTAGGAAACTTATCAAACTAACTTTTCTGATATGTAAGTAACACTCCTGTTTACATTAATCATCTGTCACTGCCAAGATAGTATATTATATCAAAAAAGAAAAAAAAGTATTACTATTTAGATGTTAATCCTACCTAATTAAGAGATCGTACAAAGAAAATGCCTAACTCTTGACCCATATTTTTCTATGGATCAACCCACAGAAATTCATCTTTAAAAAAATAAAAATAGCGAAAAACTATTCAGTGTAGCATAAATTTCACTATAAACAATAAAGATAATAGAATTTTCGGCAGAAAAAGAATTCCAGCTGCCATGCATGTAGGTAATCAACAAAAATAGCCAAAAGCTCAAGATGTCCTAAATTTTATTCTGAAACAGGAGACAGAAATATGAAATTTACAGATGCTAATCACTATAAATTAACTTCCATTATTCATCTCAATGAGCTCACACATGCAAGACATAGGATAAGTCAGTCAAAATCAGAAAAGACCAAGTCTTAAAATTAGACACTGAAAAATGAAATGCAAAAAACATAAAGAAATAAAAAAAAAAAGGAAAGAGGAAAACCAAGAGGAATCCATTATAAATAGAAACAAATACATGACGAAAAAATTAGGGAAAACAGCTCATTGTTCCCGAAAAATTAAACCATAAAAGAAAGATGAGGAAGAAAAGAATCCAGCCAAAATTTTAAGCAAGGAAATAAAAGTATAAGAAGGTTTGAAGAAGGTTGGGAGAGTCATACCTTTTTCCAGTGAAGAAGATGAAGTTTCTGGACATTAGACAATGAAAAAATATAAAAGAAAGGCAATAAACGATAAAGTAAAAGGTGGAGCACGTGGAGAACAAAAGGACCTATGTGGTCCACTTTCAATGGGTGTTGTATTAATATAATGGGTCCAGATTCTAGAAATATCCATGTATGAAAGTTCTAAAACACCCTTAGTCATCCAAGGAACCTTTGCTTATTAATATGTTAATATTTTAAAGGTGAGGTTTCTCACTCTTCATGTATCTCTAGAGGCTAAGTGTCACACCCCAAACTTGGAGAGACGTGGCCAGCACCTGATGCCATACTCGGCCCGAATGTACCACTTTGTAACTATGAGCTATGCAGGGATAGCCCTCAACTTAGGCCGATTAGGCCTACCTGCAAGCTGAAAATACCAATCAAGGCCGACGAGCCCATAATTTGAATCATCTAAAAATAATGTCTTTCTCATCTGAGAGGTAAAATATACCTAAAAGATCATATACATAATTGTGCAGGACGAGAAGCCTCCATGAACGTCTACAACCAGCCATACCAAACTGAACATTTACGCAGGGTTGGAAAGGCCATAATACTGATATACCAAATATACAATACGCGTCTACAAGCATCTAGAGATAACTTAACTGTATCATGGTTGGGACAGGGCCTCGACCTACCCATCAAACTTGTATATATAAAATGGACTCCAAGGTCTAGACATGGTAACTCCGAGGAAGTGGAGCTTACCAACCAAGCTGATGTCTGACTCTGTCTACTGGAAAGGTCTATCCAGCTTTCTATCAGGACCTGCAGGCATGAAATGAAGCGTCCATAGCAAAAGGGACGTCTGTATGAATTAATGTATCGAGTGTGTAACGCAGTACAATAACTGAAAGCTAAAACTAAACTGATAATATAATAACTGAAAGTAACTGGTAGTCAAAGATGATCTGAAGATATGCTTATCTGCTGATACTGACTCAACTCTCTCAATATAGTAAGTAAATAGTTGTCCAGCCCTATAAGGATCGGTACGTGTAACTGCTCTACTATAGTAGGCTCACTCATAGGTGCTTGGCCATACTAGGCTCGGTATCTCGGCCATTCTGGGCTCGGTCTTAGGAGCTCGGCCACAGTAGGCTCGGTATTTAACTTACCAGTCGATCATAGGTTGCCCAATAAAAGTCTGCACACCATTTATAGCTAGATGGTGGTGAAAATACTATAATGCTATATATATATATATATAGACCATCTTCCATCTTGACTGAAAGAAAATAATACTTAACTGACTATAAAGCCCCGATAAGGGAGAATATGAAAACTTATGAGATTAGGATAATATACATAAATTCAGCAGTACGAACTTCTCTTTATGTCTCGTTACCAAACGCATGTAGTTACAGGATCATGCCAAAATAAATGAAAGTTGTAGCCTTAACATACCTTATCACAATCTTTTCAATAACCACGTTGAACTCGTCTCGTTTTACTTTAATCTACAACAACGATAATAAGGTTATTGTTAAGCTACGAAAGATGCAACTACCCTACATCGAACGACAAGCTTATTTTATATTAAAACGGGCAGCATCTCCCCTATTTTCATTACTTTCCCAAGTTCATCAACTAACAAGAACCCATATAACCTTCAACTATATACTTTCAGCACCACAACACAAATCAAATCTACACAACAATAAGTGCATAAACATCACCGACGAAACTACTATTTAACATAACGAGCGACAAGCTCAGATTGAATCCATTTTGAACCCTTTAACCCCAAAGCCATTCATTCATTAACTTAACAATATATCCAGCATAATATTAGTACAATGGGAGGACTTCTAATCTCATATTCATCTCCTAATTCACCCTCAAACAACCCAATAATCCAAG